GCCCCATCCCCAAAAGTTTCTCAGCGGATTTGGGTTGTACTCAGCAAGCGCATAAAGTTTCCAACTCAGATCTGAAAAAAAATCAGTGGATGGTTGTTTTCTGACTGGTCGGCAGACCGCCGACCGGTCGGCCCTACTGGTCGGCTGCAATATGGTTGGCGGTCGGCAGGGATGCAACCATGATTTTGTGTTAAAAAGAAACTGAAGATCATTGCAGAACGTAATTGCTTTCGACTTTTAAGTTTTATAAATAGTTTTGCATCGTCTTTGTCCTCTTTACTGCACTTTAGGCATTTTATTGCAGTGTTGCATACCCTGACGGTTGGCGGCCCTTTACTGGTCGGCACCTACCGGTTGGGGGTCGTCGGCACCCTGCAAAAAAAAAAAAAAAAGGGTCCAGATCCCCGAATAACCCCACCAACACCCCCATAGCGGCCCCCAATAACCCCATACACCCCCCGAGCACCCCATGAAATGCCCCCAACACCCTCATTATCCCCCCCAATACCCCCTATACCACCCCAATATCCCCCCTATAACCCCTCCCCCAACCCCCCCATAACAACCCCCATCCCCAAAAGATCCTTAGCGGATTTGGGCTGTACTCAGTAAGCGCAGTACAGCCCCCAACTCAGACTTGAAAAAAGGTCAGTGGATGGTTGTTTTCTGACGGGTCAGCAGACCGCCGACCAGTCGGCCCCACTGGTTGGCTGCAATATGGTCGGTGGTCGGGATCGGCAGGTCTGCTACCCTGTTTTATTGTAATACTTTGACTTGCCAGATGGCTCGCCCACCTTTGAACTGACCGGCCCAACGTGGGTGCAGGCCCCGTGGTCAGCCTTGGTAGGGTCCTGGGTTTTCTCTGAGGCCTTCGCCCCTACCATTCCTTGCTGGGGGTTAGCCCTTAGGTTTGCCTTCCTTCCGGTGCTTAGACGTGTTGCCCCTGTTCTTGTGCTTCGACATGTCGGTAGGTAGTGTGAGGTGAAAAAAAAAACAACCGCCCGCCCACGTATGGGCCTATCGCAGTCGGTACGTTCATGAACTTTTGAGATACAGATTTGAGTTCAAATCACGTAGAGTCAACCTTGTGCAGATTAGGTAGGCAGTTTGTATGAAAAGTAATCTTATAATTATTTAGTATGTAATATGTAGAAAAACACTGTGCTGTTGCCTCTTGAGTTGGTTCTCACATTGCTCGGAATAGTGCTCTCTTTGTTGTCAATTTGTCGTGTATCTATGCAGGACATATCAATGACCAATTGTCTTGCTTTTGTCAGATTCTCACCCATGCGTACCTTTGCAAGTTGCTGATTTTGTGAGTGCTTTCCTCGTGGAGAGGGCCGTCCAGAACGTAGGTATGCTGTGTTGCAGTCGGTGTGCAAAGGGGATATAGCACGTTGTGACTACTGTACGCCTTTGGGTCGGCTCAGGGTGGAGCTACCTGATTTTGTCGTGATCCTGAGCGGCAGAGAAAGTTACCTATCCTCCGTGTTACTGTGCGGACGTTGGGGGCCGAAAAAAAGAGATTGTGCCAATGGAAGTGGGAGAAAGTTCAACGGCGCCCACCAGCAGCAGCTTGGACGGCGAAATGCAGGAAACTGTGGCTGAGATGGATGCCAAGATAGCTGCAGAGATAAAGAAGGCGGAGGAGGCAGAGTTGGCAATGTTGCAGTTGGAGACTAAATTGAAAGAGACTGAGCAGCAGCTAGCAGCGAGTACGGTGACACTCGAGGAGAGGGACGGTTTGCTGATAGATTTGAGAATGGAAGTCGATTGGTTGACTTCGTCTGTGAACCAGAAAGAAGCAGAGATTGGTGATCTTCAAAAGAGGATCGTGGAGTTGGATGACGTTGAGAAAAGAATGAAGACCATGGAGAAAGAGCTTGACGAGGCACGGACAGAGGCGGTTGCATTCAAAGAGATCCAGAAAATCTTGGGAGAAGCTTTGGAGCAGGAGACCCAAAACAGGAAGGAACTGGCTGCTGCTATGGCTGATGGGGAGGCAAAGGTTTCCCTTTTTGCTGAGATGCAATCCCGGGTGGAAGAGCTGGAGAGTATTAAAGAGAATCTGCAGAAAGAGCTTGCTCTTCGGGATGAAGTGGGAGGAAGGAGGGAGGCAGAGACGCAGGCTGTGGTGGATGAGCTTGCATCGGCTCGAGCCGCTGCAAAGAAAATGGAGGAAAGGCTGGCTGAGACAGCATTGCTTTTGGCACAGAAAGAGGCGAACGAGGACGTCACTCGGGAACAACGGAAAGATCTTCAGCATCATCTCGAGTACGCAGAGTCAAGAGGACTTGATCTGGAGGGAAGAGTGAAAGAGCTGGAGGACAGTGTGGCATCCAAGCTGGAGGAGCTCGAGCGAAGGCAAGAGGAACGGGTGGCTTATGAAGGTAGAATACAGCAATTGACTGAAGCCCTCCAGGTAGAGGAAAGGAAAGTCCAAGACCTTCAGTTGACAGTTCGTCAGCAGGAGGCGCTGGGAGAAACCGTGAGGAGGCTGTCGTTGGATCTCGATGCTCAAGTCGCTGCCTGCAGTGCATTGGAAACTGACAAAAGTTCCCTGGAAACAAGAGTCGCTGATCTAGAGGTATCTCTCCGGAAGGCACTCGCTGACTGTGCATTGGAATCAGCAGAAGCTGTCAGAAAGGCAGAATTGGACCTTGGTATGGAGCAAAAGAAAGCATGTGATCTAGTGCATAAACTGGCAGAGTCTGAAGCACTGGTGGAAAAGCTGCAGGCTGAGGTAGCAGGGAAGGAAATGGCCGAGGAGAGAGGGCGAGTCTCTGAAGACCGGGCGATGCAGCTCGAATCAGCTCTCACGGAAATGAGTTCAAGGCTTCGCTGTGTGCGAGAGGAGGCAAACCTGAAGGATCAAGAAGTTTCGGACATGAGCGGTCAGCTGAATCACGCACAGAAGGAGATCACAGCAATGAGGTATGCTCTGGAAGAGGCTAATGAGGGAGGGAGAACTCTTGAAGAGAAAGTTGTTGAGCTGCAATCGGCATTGGCGGAGATGGGCTCAAGGCTTCGCTACGCACAAGAGGCGGCAAATCGAAGTGAGCAAGAACTTGCAGACCTGACCAGTAAGGAAAGAGCAGCAGACATGAGGACTTGGAGACTTGAAGAGGCGTTACGAGAGACTCGAGAGGAGGTAGTTATGCTGAGTGAAGAAATTCACAAGAAGGATGGCGAACTCGCTCAGGCCAAGGAAGCAGCCTCCTCAGCTGAAATGAAATCGGAGGAAATGGAGAGGAGTTATGAGGGAAGACTGGCAGATATTCAGTCGGTTGTGGGGGGGGTAAAGGTAAAACTGATGGAAAAAATGGAGGACTCAGAGCGTAAGGAGAAAGAGCTCGTGGCGACAATGCTGGAGCGGGAGGCGAAATTGTCTGCTGCGCTCAAACAAGCTGAAGAAAAGGCGGAAAAAGCGGAGAAAGACGCTTCAGATCTGAGAAAGAATGTAGAATTTGCACATTTGGAGTCGAAGCGGCTACGCAGCAGAATCGTGGAGCTCGAGGGAGCAAAAAAGAGGCTCGAAGAGGCTGAGAGAGCATTAGCACCATTTCGTTGCTCAGTAGAAGACACAGCAGAGAGGCTTCGAGGAGCAGAGAGATCATTACAGGCAGCAGTGATGAGGGTTGAAGAGGCAGAGTCTAGGACACAGGCACTAGATGAAGTGATGCGGGAGTCACGAAAGGCAGCCCAAGGAGCAGAAGAGAGGTGTAAATCATTTGCAGCTAAGTTGAGGACAGCTGAGGAGAAGGTGGTAGAGTTTTTTGCCATGGAGATGAGAGCCAAGGAGGCAGAGAAAAAGGTGTCAGAGTGGATGGAGAACCAGGACAGGATGGAAGAGAGGGAAGCGGCTTTGGAAGGGGCACTGCTGAAGGCAGAGGCGGCATTGCGGCGGTCAGAGGGTGAGGGAGAGGAGCTGAAGAAGCGGGCAGAAGACCTTGCAGCTTCTCTGTCAGAGGCAGAGGCTCGTGTATTTGAGTTGGAGTCACACGAACTCAGCCTTAGAGAGATGGTAGAGAGAGAGAGCGTTAGGGCAGAGGAGGCAGAAAAGGAGGCAGAAGCCAGGCTAGCAGAGCTGGAGAAATTGATGGATGCAAAGTTGTCGTCAGCGAAAGAGGGTGCCTCGCATGCCAGCCAGCAGGTGCAGGAATCAGAGGTAGCATCAGGAACAAGTGGTGTACATGCAAGGAAGATAAACAAGGATTGTGATAGAGTGCCTGGGGCTGAAGAGAGCGGGCTCCACAAGAAAGACAGTGGTTGGATCATTGTGGAGACAGATGGAGGGAACAGTGATGGCAAAGATGAGGTGCTTGGGTGTCAGGGATGGCGGGCAAAATCTGATCAGCACAGGAAGCAGGTGAACTCACTACCCGTTACCCGTACTGAATGTCGCTGTTGCCCTGGGGTGACCCTCTGGGCCAATGTCATGCAAGTGTTGCTCTAATGCTATGATTAAGTTCCGGACTTTCAATCTATTTATGCTCAGTTGAGTCGGCATTGTTTTAATTTTTAATGGAGCTTGGGAAGTTCGAGGCCATTTGTTTTTTTTTTGTTAAAACTTAAGAACTAAAAATAATAATCAGAAAAACACTAGGCTGAACTCCGGGCCGCCCGGCGGCCGGCTCGTCGCCCGGGGGGGGGCCCGGGCCGCCTGGCAGGTCGTTCCGCCCGGTTGGCCACCGGGCGACCACAGCGCATCGTCGAGGCTTTTTTTTTTCGTTGCGGGGGGTCTTCTCCCCCCCAAAGGAGGCCGTGGATGGGAAAAAAAAAAAAAAGAAGGGCTGGTAGGCCCGATTCGAACAATTTCAAATCGGGGCCCATCTGCGCCGTTGATCTCCAGGATCGACGGCCCAGATGGGCCACGATTGAAATAGTTCAAATCGGGCCTACCGGCCCTTTTTTTTCATGTGTTGCTTCTAGTTTCCCGCCCGATTGTTCACTATGCCCGACCCGACGCCTCACTTCGGCCGATGGGTGCATTCGTCGTCGCCTTCGAAGACCGCGCCCGCCAACGCAGTCGACGCCCCCCGGACGCCGGCGAAGAACACCATCGCGCTGCCCGCCGACGCCCCCCGACGCCCCCGACGCGCGCCACGGTGAGTGTGTTA